TCACTCCAGTGCTCAACCCCATCATCTACAGCCTGAGAAACAAGGAGGTGATGGGGGCCCTGACACGAGTGAGTCGGAGAAACTTCTCTGCAAAAATGTAGACAAACTTTCTGCCCTAGAGTCCAAGCACTAGCTTCAAGTCAACTTAGCAGTGTACAGCAGTTATGGAAAATAATATTCCATGCCCACAGTGTGGAACAAAAATTATGCTAGAAGGTATTTTAAAATGTAGTTTTCACATTACAATTGCATAAATCAAGGTATGAATATTTTTGTATATGTTTCTTTTTATCAAAATGTAGATCATATATTTTCCAGTTAATTGTAGGCAATTGGGTTTCGTTAATGTGAAGAAATCAAAATAATAAATGTCCAAACCAATCATATTATTCAGCATAATAGTTATATCATATGTTGTTTATCTCTCATTATTATTAAGAAAAGAGAACAATGAATTATTTAACATTTGAATATAAAATAGTATTTTATTTACTCTCAACTGGTAGGTATAGCTTCCTTATTTTCCTAAAGTAATGATTTATTAATATGTTTACCTCAGGATTAATAATTAAGTTTGGGGAGAAGCAATTTGTCTTTAGAAAAACAAGAGTTTCTTTATAAGAGTTTCTGTAGAAGTTACAGGGTACTGAGTGTGGAGTAGATTACTTGAACCATTTCTCAGTCATGTCACAACACACTCAATTTTTGCCTCCTGAGTAGCCACTGGTATTCTCATACAAGACATTCTCTCTGCACAATTTCATTTCTACTTACTTTTCTCATAAATCAACAGGTCTACAGAGCTTGGGTTGGGGTTGGCTTCTCTGCTCCACTGTTTTTATACCAGCTTAGGCATGTGCCTAAAAGGGCCAACATTATTTCCATAAGAGTTATCTGCTTAGGTCCATTCTCTGAGTGAAAGGCCATTGCTCTCCAGAAAAGCCCATTCCTGAGAAACTTTAAACCTCTGAGGAGAGGAGACAAGAAGGAAGGAGGAATGAACAAGGAAGGAAAGCCCTGGATTATCCAAGCGACAGCAGTGATGAATGACTGAAATGCACTGAACCTTGAACAAGACAGATTCAAACCGTGAAGGTCCACTTACCTGTGGATCTCCTTCTGCCTCTGCCACTCCTGAGACAGCAGGACCAACCTCTCCTCGTTTTCCTCCTCTTCAGTCTACTTAACTTGAAGACAAGGATGAAGACCTTCATGACAAACCACTTTCACTAAATACACAGTAAATATAGTTTCTCTTTCTGTTGATTTTCTTTTTCTGGCTTACTCTACTGTAAGAATACAGTACACAGGACATATAAGACACAAAGCATGAGTTCATTGACTATTTATGTTATAGGTTACCATTAGTCAGGTTTCGGGGAGTTCAAAGTTATACCCAGATACGTTTTATTTCAACTTCTATTTTAGATATGGGGGTACATGTCATGGGAATACTGCATGTTGCTTAGATTTAAAATGCAGATCCTGTCACCTGGTAGTGAATGTAGTACTCAATGGGTAGTTTTTAATCCCACCCTCTACTAATGCTCAGTATCTACTGTTACCATATTTATTTCCAGGTGTGGTCAAATCCTACTTCCCAATTAAAGTGAGAACATTCAGTATTTGGTTTGCTGTTCCTGAAACAATTTGCTTGGAACGATGGCCTCCAGCTCCATCCATGTAGCTTGCAAAGGGCATGTTCTTACTTTTTTTTTTATAGCTGTATAGTATTTCATGGTATACATGTACCACATTTTCTTTATCCAAATCACCGCTGATGGACACCAACGTTGATTGTAGGTCTTTGCTATTGTGAATAGTGCGGCAATGAGCATATGAATGCATGTCTCTTTTTGGTAGAATGACTGTGTGTGTGCGTGTGTGTGTGTGTGTGTGCATAGTGAGCACTGGAATTGCTGGGTCAAATGGTATCTCTGCTTACATGTTTTGAGAAATCTCCAGACTGCTCTCCATTAGTGGCTGGGATAAATTACATTCCCACCAACAATGTAAAATAATTCCCTTTTTTCTGCAGCTTCACCGTATCTGGCATTAGTGACGTGCTCTTTTCCTCGAGCCCAGATGCTGCTTGAGTACCTGCTCCACATTCAAAGGATTCACACCTCAAAGCATGTGTAGCTGTTCTTAGCCCACTGCATTTTCACATAATAATTACAGTCAGCCTGCAAAGTGTCTACAGGAAAACAGTTTTGTGTTTCAGTGTGATTTCATATAATCTACAGCATAATTTGTGGAATAATAATTTTTTTCTATATCAAATCTCCTCATTCATTAATGAAACATAGTTTACTACATATATGTCTATTTATGAGGAGCAGCAACCCATCCATATCTCAGTGAATATTCATGGGAATGAATTTTTTTTTAATGATTCACCTGGATGTTTTTTTTTTGAGACACCATGTTACTTTGTTGCCTAAGCTGGGTTAAAACACCTAGGTGCAAGCCATACTGAAACCATCAACATAAAATAAATAAAATTAAATTGCTAGGTTTTGAAACAAAAGCATACACTTTTAGCAGAATAATAAACTAAGTATTAACCAGCTTGCCCTATAGTCCACTTCTGTATGGCTGCTTACTGTTTAAAAGTCATGTAGCCCCTGTTCACAAGGTCCAAACTTCCCTTAATTGGTGCAGTGGCGTGATCTTGGCTTACCACAACCTCCGACTCCCTGGCTCAAGCAGTTTTCCTGCCTCAGCCTTTCAAACAGCTGGGACCACAGGCATGAGCCACCGTGCTCAGATAACTTTTTTTTTTTTTTTGTATTTTTAATGGAGATGGAATTTCACCATGTTGACCAGGCTAGTCTCAAACTCCTGATCTCAGGTGATCCGCCCACCATGGCCTCCCAAAATGCTGGGATTATAGGCGTGAGCCACTGCACTTGGCCAACTGCTTCTTAAAGTATCATCATTTTTAATTTTAGGAAACTTCAAGTTTTCTATATAAAATGTTATTCAGTCCTATTGGTCCACAGCTGAGTTCAAGTGATGAACGTCTTACTTAATTTTCAGTCTCATTGACCTAATATTGACAGTGAGGTTTTAAAGTCTCCCACTATTATTATGTGTGAGTCTAAGTCTCTTCGTAGGTATCCAAGGACTTGCTTTATGAATCTGGTCGCTCTTGTATTGGCTGCATATATGTTTAGGATAGTCAGCTCCTCTTGTTGCACTGATCCCTTTACCACTATGTAATGCCCTTCTTTGTCTTTTTTGATCTTTGTTTAAAGTCTGTTTTATCAGAGACTAGGATTGCAACCCTTGCTTTTTTTTTTCTTTCCAGTTGCTTAGTAAATCTTCCTCCATCCCCTTATTTTGAGCCTATGTATGTCTTTGCACATGAAATGGGTCTCCTGAATACAGAAAAACGATGGGCCTTGACTACCCAATTTGCCAGTCTGTGTCTTTTGATTGGGACATTTAGCCCAGTATGACTAACACTGTTACATGCATATTTGATCCCGTCAGCATGATGCTAGTTCGTTATTTTACACATTAGTTGATGTAGTTTCTTCATAATGTTGCTGGTCTTTATATTTAGATGTGTTTTTGCAGTGACTGGTACTGGTTCCATATTTAGTGATTCCTTCAGGAGCTCTTGTGAGACAAGCCTGGTGGTGACAAAAACTCTTGGCATTTGCCTTCCTGGAAATGATTTTATTTCTCCTTCACTTATGAGGCTTAGTTTGGCTGGATAAAAAATTCTAAGTTCAAAATCATTTTCTTTAAGAATGCTGAATATTGGCCGCCACTTCTTCTGGCTTGTAGAGTTTCTTCAGAAAGATCCGCTGTTATTCTGATGGGCTTCTCTTTGTAGGTAATCTGAGCTTTCTCTCTGGCTGCCTTTAACATTTTTTTCTACGTCTCAACCTTCGACTCTGGAAGACAGTGTGGCAATTCCTCAAGGATCTAGAACCAGAAATACCATTTGACCCATCAATCTTATTACTGGGCATGTACCCAAAGGATTATAAATCATTCTACTGTAAAGACACATGCACACATATGTTTATTGCAGCACTGTTCACAATAGGAAAGACTTGGAGCCAACCCAAATGTCCATTAATGAAAGACTGGATAAGAAAATGTGTTACATACATTTCCAGGAAGGCAAATGCTGAGAGTTTTTGTCACCACCAGGCCTGTCTTACAAGAGCTCCTGAAGGAAGCACTATGCAGCCATAAAAAAGAACGAGTTCATGTCCTTTGCAGGGACATGGATGAAGCAGGAAACAATCATCCTCAGCAACTTCAGACACAGGAACAGAAAACCAAACACTGCATGTTCCCACTCATAAGTGGGAGTTGAACAATGAGAACACATGGACACAGGGAGGGGAACATCACACACTGGGGCTTGTTGGTAGGTGGGAAGAAAAGGTAGGGAGAGCATTAGGACAAATACCTAAGGCATGAGGACCTTAAAACCTAGATGGCAGGTTTATAGGTGCAGCAAACCACCATAGCACACAGATACCTATGTAACAAACCTGCACATTCTGCACATATAACCAGAACTTCAAAGTAAATTTTTTTTTAAAAAGCCATCCCCAAATATCTCCAGAAAGTTGATTTGAGGCTTCCTTTCTTTCCTCCTTCAGCTGACCACAATTATTTAGCTGTTTCTGTGCTGCAACTCCCACTGTCTTGGTGGTCTTGGTGTTTTGGTCTGCTACCACTCCATGTGGCCGTGTAACAACCCTCCTGCCTCAGTGTCCCCATGGGTGTAATTACAGGCATGTGCCACCATCCATTGCTGTTTTTACAAAAGATTGACATAAATGGTTATCATCTGAATCTTGTATCTTTGGGACATAGAATGAGGTTTTTGTTTTTTAAGTAAATATAATTGTTCATTTAAAGAACTGTGACTTAATGAATAATTCAAATGCACTGAAAACAGACATTTAAAAATGTAAAATAAACAGCTCAGTTTTATTTACATGCCTTATTCTCATCTCTTCTTTCAGAATAAACCAAGTTGTGGCCGACACTATGCTCAATTTTATGGTTTCTACTGAAGAAGTGTGAAATAGTCCATTCCTACTTCCAGAACACTCTCAGGGAGAAGAGGGGTATTTATGCAGGAAGTTGCTGACTCATAGTTCCCATATTTGCATCCATGACCCTAGTGGTTAGTTTTGAGGTATACCTAAAAGTCTTTATTTTTTACAGAAATTCCCTTGAAGCCTGTCTTCCTACATCAAATAAGGATTCTTACCTTCTCTTTCAGCACACATGGGCTTTGTCTTCTGTCTTGTAAAGATGTGAAAACAGTTCCCTGGTTGCATTAGACTTGGCACCTGTCTAAAAAGCCAAGGTTGTAAACTTAACACAGGAATTTTTCAGCTTTTCCAGTGCAGGATATCCATGCAGTTTGAGTTTCAGGAAATTGCCCTTTCCAGGAAAGTACACTAACTACCCTGACTGCATCATTATACAGTATGTACATGCATAAGTATATGGTCCAGCTAACTGATCACCACCATTTACAGGTTCCTGGTTCCTTCACCCCCACTGCTTCGTGTGACTGGCCTATACATATCTATCTATCTATCTATCTATATGTAAATACAAATCAAAATATATATTGAAATACATCAAACTATAATTTGCCAATTAAATACATGTTTTAAAGATTCAAATATTTTTAAAACTCAAAAAAAATTAAAATGAACCAATATCACTTTTCCCAGGTAGATGATATAATTAATTCACTTACTGGAAACAATAAGAAATTCGAGAACATTGAAAGCACTCTGCTAAATAAAAATTCAATTCAATTATTAAATATTTTCTAAATATTAATAAATAGTAACATAATTTTATCATCTAATAAAATAAAATAGCTTTATAGTTTAATGAGCATTTCCAAAAGAAAAGACAATTTGAACATGTATAATATGTAAAATATGTTTCTTTCTCCATTGAGTTTACCCTTGACATGCCTTCAAACATCTAAATACATGATCAGAAGTCATTTCTGAACCTGGACTAAGGCCATCCTGTGTTATTAGTGACTTTAAGCTTAGAGTTCCAAAGTCTCAGTGGACATTCCCCAGTGACTTCCAGCAAACAACTGGTAATCTCATTCTCCGAGTCAAAAATGACTGGATTCATGGTGGCTACTAAATCCCCATGAAGATCTCTGAAATCTCCTGTGCAGGGATGAAATATATATACATTTCTTTAAACAATATTCTTAAAACTTGCTCGGAAAAATGACTTTGTTCTTATGATGACTGTAGGATCGCTGTCGCTAAATAAGGCAGTGAGTGTCTGAAATTGAGGAGAAAATACAAGATACTAATTACATTTGTATTTTTAAATTTTTATTGATTCTAGGGAAGAAGGAACTCTAGCAAGTGCTTAAGAGAACTTTGTTTCAGAAATGAAACTGAAGTGAAGTCTGAGCACCAGTGACTGTATTTCTGTAAAACCATTCAGCAGAAATCCTGGAGTATGAAATGCAGACAAGCGAAAGTGCTTTTGCAGCTAATAAATGAATGTGTTTTCTAGACGAGAAGGGAAATTATGGTAAGTGAAGGGGCTAAATTATGTCAGAATACGCTTTTATGGGCGCAACTGAAATGAAAGAGCCCACATTCACAATAATGGGTGTAGGGAGCAGCACTGCCTCAGTCCCACTTGGCTGGTGTTTTGTTTCCATTTCTTTCATCGTAAGTGATGACTGGTTATATGATGCTCATTATCATCTTATTGCTGCTTCTTACTTCTATTTTACCTTATATAAATCCAGTCTTTCTAATGAAATACCTGAAAAGTACCAGTGTTGTTACTTTAAAAGGGCATTAAAGTAAAGGCACAACAAGAATGATTAAAATTACCAGTCTGTAGGGCAATGATAAATTTTCTGACATGAAGGATCTCCTTCTGGAAATTACGAAGGTAACCATATGATTAGCAGCTGTGCTACAGTTATCCAGATTTCGTTTTTATACCCAATTTTTGCCAAATTGTAATACTTTGTGCTTTGAACTTTTTAAAGTTAAAAACTAGAATTATGAAAACTAGAATTCCTTTTAGTATTAAACTGAGCCTTTCTCCCATGAACTTACACAGTGAAGCAGAGTAAGCACATCCTCATTCCAGAACAACACTGAAAGGATGTACTATCACAGTCAGCTTCTATCCATCCATGGAAATGTCTGTCTGTCCACTTACCTATGTATCTATCTGTGAGAGCTGATGTACCACCGTGGACCTTAATGGCAGGTTGTGACTTGGAAGCACACGTACATACAAGCAAATATTCACTTTCTATTCTTTAAGTCTTTACACCTTAAAGAGTTATGGTTCTCCAACTTCATACCCTTCTTAGCCATTCAGAATACATGTTGTGTAAATATTAATAAGACAAGTTATTCCTAAGTCAGTTAAATTCAACACTATGTACTGTGTCTCTTCTTAGGAGAATCTATTGCAGAGGAACTTGAAGGAAGGAGGCATCTCCTATAGGATTCCATGCCAGTATGCTGTGGAGAGCTGTCCTTGTCTCGACTCCAGAAGACACTCTACTGTGTCATCTGGATGACATTCTAGACAAGTGTTGTCAATGTTAAATAATTCTTACTATAGTCATGCAGATTCAGGTACAGACAGATTCTTTTAAGGAATTAAGGCTGACTCATGGGGTCAGTCACTTCTCAGTCCTTCCAGTGAAACTGATCCATTGCTGTTTTATCATTTCCAAGTCCTACATGTAAGTAGGGGAAATCACTTTCTGGAAGTTTCAGAGGTTCTGAACTTTAGGATATTACAGATATTGCTTCGGAACAGAGGAAGTAATCCAGATTGTGCAAAACCCCATAAAGAGTGTCTTGGATTTTGCAGATATTTTAAAGTTCAGTCTGATTTCTTGTAAAACTTCCAGTGAAGTCAACTTGTGCCCCTGCCTCCCCAGCTTTTTTTTTTTCTTTTTTGGTAAATCCACAATTTTTCTGCACCAATACAAATGATCATACCAACTTTAAGGAGAGCAGCCTTATTTTGTGATGAAGAATGTTTTTTCCTTGAGAATACTTTTGATCAAAACTGAGGAAAGTATAGGAAATAAATCTGTGTCTCAGTGGAAAACTGCATTCTATCTAGACTCAAGAGGACTGTCCCCCTTGGTTCCCAACTCTATCACTAGGTCACTGCACAGTCATGAGGAACTCTCTTCAAATCTCTGTGATTCAGTTATTATTCCTTCTGATAGTGAGAATATAGATGAAAAATCTTTGTCTTCTATGAATATATGAATCACTAAAATTAGGCTATTTTCTTTATCTCACTTTCAACTCTAAATTGAAGCATAGTAAAAATGCTATGATGCTTTTTTACTTCAAAGTTATAATATGTAATTCATTTGAAACATGGGCAGTGTTCGGAGAATTTTAATGATTACGCTGAATGTGCACATCCTCAACTTGATTTACACAGGAGATTATAGGGGTGTGTTGTTTAGTGAATTCCTCCAGTAGGGAATCTTTTACATTGGGAACAAGATGGAAAGTATCTTTCATTTAGATTTTCTGAGACTATTTTTCTGTGAAGATATATAATTGCTGCCAGATGAAGTGAAAGTACAGTAAAATAGGTGATATGAAGAAACAGAAGATTTGTAATGACTACATTTTAATCATTAAAATCCTACTTGTGTTTAAAATGTTTACACTTTCTCAATTATTTACCACTTGTATGAAGTTTTAATTTTAATGAATTTAATTCTTTTTTTTTTGGGGGGGGTGATTTAAGAAGTGAGCCACCCTTATTTTAGATTTACTGCCAAAAATGTTTGAGGGATAAATTAGATGACACATTTTTTAAAGTTTATATTTATTTATATATGTGTCACATTTATTCATAGATGTGTGTGTGTAAATGTGCATATATGTATGTTTGTGGATCTCGAGTTTACTGAAAATCTCTGAATCTCAGTTTTGTCATCTATAAAATATCAGTGGTGATATCAATCTCAAGTGCTGTTTTTATTAAATCCAATATAATCTCAGAACAAATCCTGTTGCATTCCAGGTGCCAGTGTGTGCAGAGAGTCCGTGAAAGTACATGCCTTCCTGTTTTCTTTCACGTGAAATGCAGTTCAGGTTTAAGGTTTGTGGGTCCTACTCATTCTGAAATCATGACAGAACTTTTTCTGTGGGTTCTTTCCCCCTGTGTATTATGTCATTAATGCTGATGCCTGCATACTGAATTTTTAGTGAAAAAAAATTTAAAGTAAAGATGTTTCTTAATAGGCCGAAATACCTTCCTTATAGCTATTTCTGTGGACAAAAAAGTTAAAGGGCCAGAAATAATCCATTCAGATTTATCTTTACATGAGAAAAAAAATATCCTGTTTACATTATTAAAACAGGAATATCGTGGCTGAGGCACCTTCCTGTCAGGAAGTAGCCTCTAATTTTATTTAAATAATATTATACAATAGGATACTAGAATGTTAGAACCTTGAACATGGAAAATAAAAAAGATGCTACATTGGCAGTCATAAAACATGGCATTAAATATCAGATCTGATGTGCCATTTATTATGCTGTTCTATGTTCTTTTTTCCTCTCTTTCAAATTAGGGTAATGTTAACTATCTCTTGGACAGTTTGTCATAAAGAGCCCTATGGAAAACACAAATGATAGAAATGTTTGAAAGGTTAATTGTGTTAGCAATTTCAAATATTACATGTTCTACTCCCCAATAATTAAACTAGTAATATAAATTATATAGTAGTCCATTAACCTTAATGCCAATCTCATATTGATTCCAAATAACATTTATGAAAATAATTTGCTCTTCTACATTTTCTTTCAAAAATTACCAGATGTCATAAAATAACTGAAAATATATTGCTCTGCAGAGGCTTAGAAACTTGCCAAGATTTTTAAGAAATGAATTTGGAAATCCAAATTGAAATAGTTTCAATACATTTAAGTGGTTTTTTATTAGGAAAAATATACATAAGAGAAACACCATTTTAATAACCTTTGGAAATGTGGAGTTGTGTGTCATTAGGTACATATGTTGTTGTGCAAACATCATCACTACCATGCGTCTAGCTCCAAAACAGTTTCATTGTCTCCAACTAACACTTTGTTCTTGTTAGTCAATTACTCTCCTTCTCTCCCTTCAGGCATCCTCTAGGGTCCAGCATTCCACTTTCTATCTCTATGAATTTCACTGCTCTGGTTACTTCATGTAAGTGAACTTGTA